AAATGGTGTTGGCTGTTTGAGATTGAATATTAGTATAACTTGTAGGAAATAAATTTTTCACAACAAGTCTCACTCTAAAAATAATGATAACTAAAGATTTTCAAAGAAATTTTCTAGTACCTTATGACAGAAATCAAAAATCATAGGGTTTATGAGATGTGCAGGTCGTGTTTCTTGTGTTTATTCGGGGAACCTTTACAGTTATAAACCCTTAAAGCGACTCATGTCTGATTATTAAAACTGACTTTGTCAACTTTGAAACGTGTCACCACTGAGCTGCTGGAGGCCTATCGAAAGGAACTCCCGATTCTGCCTTTTAGCGGGTAAAAGCCATCAGTTGCCGTCGCTTTTTGCAGAGTCGTACCATTGCCTAACTGATTCACACTTTTTACCTAAATTTCCGAATCGTTAGACCCTGCCAAACCCACATCTTTCTAGTAAATTTTTTAGCACTTCAAGTCAAAAGCATTAATTTTAATGACACTGAAATCACTTATTTTACATCCTTTCTTCTAAATTCTATTCTTATTCCAACGATATTGGGAGGCTCTTTTTTGACCCAGAATAAGAGAAATGAATGCTGCATGTTCGATAAAAACCTGATAAGATACAGCAAAAATAAATAAAAAAATTTCAGGGATCTAATACCAATCACAAGGAAGTTGAAGGCAAAAATGAAGTGCATTTACTGCGAGCAACATGAGGAACTAAATAAGATATTGAAAATAAAGAGCAAACTCAGCGTTGGTACTGTAAAAAGTAAAGTTAATTACTCTTTTACAGTGGAAGGTAGAACTGTATTGAGATCCCTAAATTGTGATGATCGTACCGAAAAAGTTTTTTTTGAAAAGACAGTCACAACTTCTGAAGAACCAGCTGCCCTCTTAAAACAACGGTAAAGCATCTGACTCTAGGTCAGAAAAACAAAGGATTAAAAGTTCTCATTCATCTCACTGTCTCTCAAATAAAAAATGACCTGCCGCTATTTTTTAATATAATAGTTTACCGTCGTTATCGCCTTACATCTAATAACCGCTTTCTCGTCCTTTTTTTCCTTTAAGCTGTCTGGTCCTTAGTTGTAAAATCATAACTTAACTCTTCAGGTACACCAAAATTGTAGCAAAAAAATGATCACTACATCACATAACTTTGAAATGGTTCAGTTTCGGGATTCTGAAATTTACCAGTTTAAATCAGTAAAGAACCCCCGAGTTTGTCTAAACTTATAATGATCATTCAAGTTTATTGCTCTCTTAAAGTTTCTTTTGCATTTTCTGTAGCCTCAGAGTTTCATTCTTTTCTGCTAAGAAACACGTATTTGAAAAGGTGCAAAAATGGCAACAGAAAAATAGCTTTGAAACGACTCTGTTGTCAAACTAAAATTTCTTTTATGAAGAAGTAACTGTTCGTGTTCGATAAAGATTCCTAGACTTGGGAAAAACTTTTTAATTTTAGTCTTTTTCTACAACTTTCTTCTCTAACACATTTTGTTCGAATAAAAAAAAAATTACTAAATTTCTCTACACTTTAAATATAAGAATTTTCTTTTGACCACTACAGTTTGTAGTTTAATTTAATCACATTAAATTATCATTAGTCTCTATTCTGTCTGTTTAGATTGATCAGTTCCTTTATTTGAAAAATAAACAAAGTACCAAAGTGTATAGCTTTTGTGAGTCCTTCTAATGTTTTTGCAGCAAAAATCAAATTCTGTTTCAAAGTTTTTTTAATATGTATTTAAAAATTTGCAAAAAAAAAGGGTAGTAAGGTTGAAGAAAAATTTCAAAATAGTTCCCTTTTTCCGTTGACAAACAAACAAATAAACAAACAAATATAAAGGAATGACCAGTTCAAAAAAATTGACTTTTTTAAAAAATTATTGTAGACAATCTTTAATCATTAGATTATCAGTACTCCATCAGTTGTTTTTCTCTTTTTTTCTGTTCTGTTGTTTGATCTTAGTTATTTAGGAATTGTGAACTATTTCTTTTGTGTTTCAACAGCAGAATGAAAAGAAATCTCTTTTGCTTTTTCTTCTTAATTTTATTATAGAAAACACTACGGTGCTGTAAAATTTAAACATTGTTTTGCAAGGGTACTTCTCAACCACAATGTTTTTGGTGTCAGGATAAAACTTTTGTCGGCTTTGTCCTGAAATGAGTTAATGCTTTAGATAAAATCGTAATTTGGGATATTTTAATTCAAAAAAAATTTTTTTTTTAAATTCTTTTACATTTTTTTTTCAATGTATGATTTAACGTTTTTCAATTCTTTTAAGAAAATTTACAAATTTTTAGGGAGAAAAAGAAATAAACAAAAATATGCCTGTCTAAAATGCCTCTTTGACAGCTTAATACATCTAATTTCATTATGTTTCGTCGCAATTTTAGATCACTTATTGATGGAAAAAAAAGTTTTTTTTT